GAGAGAGAGAGAGAGAGAGAGCCAGGAGCCTGGCTGGGGGGTGGTGGGGACAGCGCTCTGTCAGGGGAACCCGGAAAAGGGTTCGCGGAGGGAGGGGAGGCCCTCGTGCCGCCTCCTGGAGAGGTGCAGGTGAAACAAGCCGAGGTGGAGAGAAGGGTGTTCCAGGCGGATGGACAGAGAAGGGAAAGGACGGGGTGAGTCTGGTGAGCAGGAAACGGTGTTGGAATGGAATGTTCTAAACTCATAATTATTTGCATCCCATGGTTTCAGGTTTTCTTTTCTTTGTGGTTGGCCTTCTTGAGCCGTGAGCAAGGAGGACCAGCACACGTCTGCCCATCTCTGTGGCTGGCCGCCAGCCCCGAGACAAGCATTTCCCCCCACTGCTAATGGAGCAGTCTCTCCAGGCCCCGCCGCAGCCAGGCCCCGCCCACCCACCAGTCACCTCTCCCTCCTGCCTTTCCACAGGGGTCAGAGCTGCTGAGGGACCCATCCCTGGGGACTCAGTTCCGAGTGCATCTGGTGAAGATGGTCACCCTGACCCAGCCTGAGGTAGGCACCAAGCTGGGAGCCCAGAGTCCCTGGAAACCCCATTGCCATTCTGTCTCTTCCTGTCGCTCTCCCCGTCTGTAGCATGGACAGCGACAGGGTTGTGGTGGCGCAGGTCCCATAAACACGGGCTCTGTGACCCCCCCACCCCCAGGATGCTCCGAATATCACAGCCAACATCACGGCCTCACTGCTGAGTGTCTGTGAGTGGAGCAGGACTGTCAACCCCGAGGACGACACAGATCCTGGGCATGCCGACCTGGTCCTCTACATCACCAGGTAGCCGAGCGCCCCCGTGGCACGCCAGCCTGCCTGGGAGCTGTCCTCCCCTCCCCACCCCCCTCTGCAAAGGCGGCCCGGCCTCAGCAGCAGCCTGGTGCCTTTTTTCTTCCCAAGGTTTGACCTGGAGTTGCCTGATGGTAACCGGCAGGTTCGGGGGGTCACCCAGCTGGGGGGTGTCTGCTCATCCTCCTGGAGCTGCCTCATCACTGAGGATACCGGCTTTGACCTGGGGGTCACCATTGCCCATGAGATTGGGCACAGGTAGGCATACTGTCCCCAAGCTGAGGTCTAGGAGCCGACTGGGGCTCCCAGGAGGGAACGTTGAGGCTGCCGTGGGGTAGGAGGGCAGCCCTGTAGGAGTCTGCTGGAAGGAACCTGTACCCTTGACCTCAGTGGACTTGGGGGGGAGGAGGGCAAGGGCTGGGAAATCTGCTATTTCTTGATTACCAGGTGATTAAAAAAATTGTTTTTACCCCCTCCTCCCCCCAAAAGCAAGACAGACTTCACAATTAGAAAACGTTTTCTAGGAAATTCAGGTAAAGGAAAAGCAGGCTGTAAAAATTATCCCAAATCCCAGCCCTTAGAGGTAACATCTGTTCACCTTTTGTATGTAATTGTAGTCAGGTCTTACACACACACATATTTACTTTTATTTTACGAAGAGAGAGAATCTTGAGCACGCTTAAGCGAGCAGGGGAGGGGCAGAAGGGGAGAGAGAGAATCTTAATCGGCCTCCATGCTAATGCAGAGCCCGATGTGGGTTCGTTCCCACAACCCTTGGATCATGACCTGAGCTGAAATCAAGACTTGGACCCTCGGGTCCCTGGGTGGCTCAGTCAGTTAAGCATCTGACTTTAGCTCAGGTCCTGATTTCATGGTTCCTGAATTCAAGCCTGTCACTGGGCTCCCTGCTGTCAGCACAGAGCCTGCTTCAGATCCTCTGTCTCCCTCTCTCTCTGCCCCTCCTCTGCTCACGCCCTCTTTCTCTTTCTCTCTCTAAATAAACATAAAAAAAAAATTCAGATGCTCAACTGACTGAGCCACCTAGGCGCCCACACACACATA